TTCGTTGAATGTGGGTGTTCGCATTCAATTTGTCTCCCTCGGAAACTGAGATCTTACCCATTATGCACAGACTGACTACTATACAGCACATTTCTAATGTTAATGGTTTTAACACTTAGAACAATTAATTTATCTCACTGGTTTCGAAAAACTTCTGTAGCTGTTTAGTGTTTCCATTTTCAAATTTTTGATATAATTCGCTTCCTTGTAACAAACAGGGAGTGCAAAGTTACAACACCTTTGTTCTCCTCAAATAAACTGAACTGAACTGAACTCCCTTTCAGAGGCACGACTTGACAAAGTCAGCACACACGCCCTGGGCTCGCCAACAGCCACTGTCGCCCGAGAACTCAACTCGGGGTTCGGTGCACAATATGACCCCCTGGTTCTGACGCCCTCATACTGCTCTTGTTACTCGGAGCTTGGTTTGAATATTGTGGCGTTCGGGCTGAACTCACTGCCTGAAGATGCAAACTGGGGTTTTTCAACGGCAGTCAAGAACTGGGGGGAACCACGCGGTGACCACAAGAAAACGTCTCTGCGAATCAGGCTGTCACAAACGTGAAAAAACACGATCAGGGCCGTTGCAGTGACCTTCGGGTCTACCCCCCTCACCGATTGGTCCCGCTTGAAGTTGTTATAACCGACCTTAACGCCAAGAGTGGCATGATACCAGCAAGTGATGGAACGAGATGGACAGATAGGCTGATCTTGTCGGGGGAATGACCTCGGTGATCATTGGGATGAAGCATAGCTAAGATACAGGAAAAGAAGTAAATAATTTTTTAGTCTGCAGGCATCTTCAGGTGAGTGCGAGCAGCGGTGTGCGACATGGACCAACATTAGTAAATTACATAAGCGTATGTTACTTGCATGTTGGTAGTAGCATCGTCATAACACTAACTTGTCAACATTGGGTATTAAGATGGCTGTAGTCCGGCGTCACCAAACATAACAGCCACAGGAGGGGCTAAGGCACAATCGAATAAATGTCATCGGCTGGAACCATTTAGTTATTGCTGTCCGCATCTGAAAACGCACGTCGGATCCCGGTCAGAGTAAATTCCCCAAGGTTCCGGCCACCAAAATTACGAAACGTGTCACGATTAGCGGCATGTCGCCTCCAGGTGTCTGACCGCTGGATTGATCTTCTCAGACACTGTAGAAACGCTCTCCTTTCCAAGAGAGGCAAAGAGGCGAGCCCCAGAAGAGGGAGACACGATCGCTGGAAGAAGTGCTTTATTCGCCTGACGTTTCGGATTTTTGCTCGAACCAACAATCAGAGACTGTCGCTGCCCAATGATGGTGGGTTCGAGCAGAAATGCGGAACACCAGGCGTATAAGACTTTTGTTGCAGCGATCTTGCCTCTTTCTTCATGAAACTCCCTCCTTTTTGGAATTAATAGTTTTCACAAATGTGATATTTTTATTCTGAGCAACTTATGTGCTCAATAACATTTTAGAACACGTCCTCCGCCCGTATGGGTTCTGAAGGACTCCATAAAGCCTTGTATACCAAAGGGTGTGATGGCACGCCTAGGTGCGGATCCGGCCGTGCCAGCCACCTGCGCCCTCCTCCCGCCTCCGGTCTTCTTGACTCTGTCTTGACACTCGGTCCAGGTGGGGAGTGAAGAAGAGAGAGTGCGGTAGATGCTGCGAAAGTCCGCCATCACTATAAATCAATTCACGCGCAAGTCACCGTTCCTGCTCCGCCCTGCTGTGGAGCACACGGTGAACTTTGACTACTTAAGTAGCATGCATCTGTCCCATTGATTTTCGATGGTCTTGGAAATTCAAATATATTTTATAGAAACCCCAAACAAAAATGTGCTTTCTTTTAGTAAATCAATAGAGAATCACGTCTTCTTTATATTTTATACTTAAGGAAGGAGTATAATTGTGTTTAAAAAAGTTTCTAATTAGGAAACTTTTTAAGACCGCAATATGTCCATTCACATAGCATCGTACCTGGACGTTTACCACTGCTCCTCATGAAATGTACAACATGGTCCGCATCCATTGCAAAATTTTATGGACCCTGTATGATATCTCTTTAATGACATAGAAAAATATGGGATTTTCTTTACGCGGAACGCATGCACCTCGTAGAGTGTAATCACTAAGCGCTAATGCAACGAATTTTCAGGCTCCAAATTCTTCAGCAATGCGAAAACTTTTTCAAAACCTAATTATACTCCTATCTTAAGCATAAAATATAAAGAAGACGTGATTTTCTATTGATTGACTAAAAGAAAGTATATTTTTGTGTATGACTACTTAAGTAGCATGCATTTTTCCAATTGATTTTCGATGGTTTTGGAAATTCAAATATATTTTATAGAAACCATAGACAAAAATATGCTTTCTTTTAGGCAATCAATAGAGAATCACGTGTTCTTTATATTTTATACTTAAGGAAGGAGTATAATTAGGTATTAAAACAGTTTTCTAATTGCCGAAAAATTTGGAGCCTGATCATTCGTTGAATTAGCGCTTAGTGATTACACTCTACAAGGTGCATGCGTTCCGCGTAAAGAAAATCCCATATTTTTCTATGTCGTTAAATAGATATCATACAGAGTCCATAAAATTTTGCAATGGATGCGGACCATGTTGTACATTTCATGAGGAGCAGTGGTAAATGTCCAGGTACGATACTATGTGAATGGACATATCGCGGTCTTAAAAAGTCTCATAATTAGAAACTTTTTTAAAACCTAATTATACTCCTTCCTTAAGTATAAAATATAAAGAAGACGTGATTTTCTATTGATTGATTAAAAGAAAGCACATTTTTGTTTGTGGTTTCTATAAAATATATTTGAATTTCCAAGACCATCGAAAATCAATGGGAAAAATGCATGCTACTAAAGTAGTCATTTTTTACCGAGCACGCTTTCTACAGGAGATTGAAAAGAAGTGCTTTTAAATGCCGCCATCCTGCCGAGTCCAAAATGTTATAAGAGTATGCCTTATGATAATCATTATCACCACCGCGACCAAGTAATCCTTCCTAATCGAAAACGCATTTCAGAATTTCAGCCAACATTTCATGAGATAGGTCACACACTGTATTTATGCCACTACTTCGTAAGCTGGCCTCTACAGACCTCGGATAATAAACCATCCACCAATATCACAAAGGATTTTTGGACCAAAAGCATTTCAAAAAATTTCCGCTCAAGTGGCTAGATAAAGTTCCTCTCTGGAAATCATTTTTGAGAACGACAGCAGACTCTAGACAAGAGTCGAAAGTCACTGAAAAGTACACACAATTCAAGTTGCTGTTCATAATTGCCGATGCCAATATGGGTAGCAGGGACCAGCCTCAGTAGACGAAATAAGTAGTTACTACGTTCTCTAAGCTGAACTACGCAATCTCTTCTACAGTGAGTGACCTATCTCATGAAATGTTGGCTGAAATTCTAAAATGCGTTTTCGATTAGGAAAGATTGCTTAGGCGCGGTTGTAACACTGACTATCTTGCGGTATACTCTTATAACATTTCCGACTCGGCAGGATGTCGGCTTTTAAATGCACTTCTTTTCAACCACCTGTAGAAAGCGTGCTCTGTAAAAAATGATTACTTAAGTAGCATGCATTTTTCCCATTGATTTTCAATGGTCTTGCAAATTCAAATATATTTTATAGAAACCCCAAACAAAAATGTGCTTTCTTTTAGTCAATCAATAGAGAATCACGTCTTCTTTATATTTTATACTTAAGGAAGGATTATAATTAGGTTTTAAAAATGTTTCAAATCATGAGACTTTTTAAGACCGCGAAATGTCCATTCACATAACATCGTACCTGTCCGTTTACCACTGCTCCTCATGGAATGTACAACATGGTCCGCATCCATTGCAAAATTTTATGGACTCTGTATGATATATCTTTAATGGCATAGAAAAATGTGTTATTTTCTTTACGCGGAACGAATGCACCTTGTAGAATGAAATCACTAAGCGCTAATGCAACGAATGATCAGGCTCCAAATTTTTCGGCAATAAGAAAACTTTTTAAAACCTAATTATACTCCTTCCTTAAGTATGAAATATAAAGAAGATGTGATTCTCTATTGATTGACTAAAAGAATGCATATTTTGTTTATGTTTTCTGTAAAATATATTTGATTTGCAAGACCATCGAAAATCAATTGGAAAAATGCATGCTACTTAAGTAATCATTTTTACAGAGCACGCTTTCTACAGGTGATTGAAAAGAAGTGCATTTAAAAGCCGACATCCTGCCGAGTCCGAAATGTTATAAGAGTATGCCGCAAGATAGTCAGTGTTACAACCGCGCCTAAGCAATCTTTCCTAATCGAAAAACGCATTTTCGAATTTCAGCCAACATTTCATGAGATAAGTCACTCACTGTATATTTAGGAAAGGCAAGATTTGCTAAGGTACCGATATGTGTACCCAGAACTATCTACGTACAATGAACACTTCTTTGCTAGCCGAGTGGCGCATATAAGCCAAAACAGATTTCGGTGTATGTACGATACTACTGACAGAATACAAGTAATAATGAATAAAGTACAAACCTCAACAAGGGATATACTTTACGAAGAATTCCTTTTCGACTGTTCGAGCAAATCGAATTCACAGCTCGATGTCAGAATAAAAGGGGAAAGGGAAATGTAAACAGGGGTCAAAAGTGGAAGCACTTGCGAAAAGGGGGGTGCAGAATTCCAAGCGTTGACCAACTGAATACAACAGGGCATGTGGTGCAAATACAATTCTTTCCTTCTCGCATTATCCAAGCATACCACATTCGCCCTTCTAAAGAGCCCTATTATCACCGTTCCCATACTTTGCGTCATCCTTCCAGTGGGATGGTACAAAGATGGTTTCCAACCAAAGTTTCCGATCATCCATGGACTTGAAGAAGGAAAGAAACGCTTGATGTGCACATTCTTATTTTTAAAAAATAATGGCAACCAAAAGGGGCAATCGTTAGTCAAGTGAATACGAAAACATGACTACTGACAGTGTCTACTTAGTAGTAAGGTCGACCCAGAATAGTGAGTCCAGTTGGGGGTAAACAGTGGCCAAAATGCTCGGTTCAGCATATTCAAGGGTTCTCAGCTCGGGTGCGGTCGTTCCTGGGGATGCCCGATGTGCCACCTGAGTTCGTTTCTGGCGACACATGATACAGAAGAGCCATCGAAGACGAGGTAGGAGACTGAAACACTGCATCACATCGGTCTGACTAATTTCCTTCTTACAGTTGGTACGGAGAAGGAGGTATTCTGTCTCTTGGCAGTTTTTCAGCCCACTGAAGTCGCAGGGCACCTCAGCCTCCGGGAAGTCGAACACTAGGGTCCGAACAGGGTATGCAGTTGCATTCTGCAGAGCCATCTCCACGTCCACGGTGTTGGTACCGACGTAGAGTTTCTCCAGGCGGGGACAGGCAGCGAGAAGAACATCAAGGTTCGACCAGCGCACCCACTTCCCAGCGCAGAATCTCAGAGTGGTGAGATGAGGGAACATACGGAGGAATGGTTCCAACTTCTCCGAAGAAACCGGCTGCGTCTTGAAACGCTCAAACTCCATATGCCGGTCTGGTTCAATGCTCAGCTCGGTGACCTTCGTGAAGGCGCCTTCCAGAGACCTGATCTGGCTGTCTGCAGTTGGATCGAGGCTGCAGCCGAAGCAGAATTCGGCCGAGACCTCCAGCTTCGTCAGACTGACCTTACACAGAGCCAGGAGCTTGAGAAATTTATCCTTGCAGAATGCAGCCAACTCGCTGAGCAGTTCATTCTCGTGCACATAGGCGCCCTCTTTACAGGCCTCGAAGATGAGGTGACGAATCTCAGCGTATCGAGTGCTAATCAACTCCTCGGCGGCACTAACTTTACCCGAACTGTTCTCCCTGTCCAGGACTGCGGGACGTCCTTGTAAGTAGACTAGGCTCACGTCCACCGGGTCGATTCGCCGATTGGCGATGGCCATGGTAGTGCAGGAGAGTAGAACCAGCGACTGATCTTCATAGGCGGCCTGGCTGCCGTCTCCCCCCAGTCCAACATTCCACTTAAATCGCTCCCCCTCCACCTCACCACATTTCGCGCAGGTCTCCACTGCTCCTGGCAGCGGGAACTTACGCTTACCGGAGAACTCTATTTGCACGTTGGACAACCAAGCCCTCTCATCGTCATCCACTACTGGCACAGTTGCGTCCCGAATGTCGGTGATAACAAGCCTTTTGAGATTAGGGTAAACTTGGCGAAAACTCCAGCGTAAGTTTTCACGTACTTTGGCAACCATGCTGATGGTTTGTACTGTGGGCATACCGAACTTCCGATACTGTTCGTAAAACTTGTAGTCCTCTTCACACAACTCCCCAGCCAGGGTGAATTTACGCGTGAAGTCCCATGTCTCTATAAAACGATCCGTCTGAGGGTACTTGTAGCGACCTCTCAGGAAGACTGTCATGGAGCGCACATTCTTGGGCTCCGCGAGGGGTGGATAGTGTTCCGCTGTTCCCTCCAGGTCCATCTTCACGTTGACCACGATCTTCTGAAGACAGGGCAGCATGCTCTCGTCC